AATTTTTTTTCTACAAAAGTTGTATTTCGGATTCAGTAAAGAATCTCTATGATAGTTAATGAATTTAAAAAATTTGAACTATTAAATTTGTTAATAAATAATGGAAGAACATGGTTTTTCATTCGTTTTTTGAAATTAACTCGTCTTGTAATTAATTTACACCAAAATTTTTCAAAGATAATTTGAAGTACATAAGATTATCTGTAAAACTGAAAAAAGAAGACTGTTCTACCTATTACCGTTCCTTAGATATGACACGTTGAAGTTGCTATTCAATGAAAAATTTAAACTTGGGAGCTCATTATTCGATGAATTCTTTTATTTAATATCCTAATATAACAATTATAATAAAACATAATTAAGAGGACTCTTTTTCGAATAATTTGCGATAGATAAAATTAATTTATCTTCAGTAGTATAAATTATTATTATTATTATTATTCATCGAATAATGAGCTCCCAAGTTTAAATTTTTCATTGAATAGCAACTTCAACGTGTCATATCTAAGGAACGGTAATAGGTAGAACAGTCTTCTTTTTTCAGTTTTACAGATAATCTTATGTACTTCAAATTATCTTTGAAAAATTTTGGTGTAAATTAATTACAAGACGAGTTAATTTCAAAAAACGAATGAAAAACCATGTTCTTCCATTATTTATTAACAAATTTAATAGTTCAAATTTTTTAAATTCATTAACTATCATAGAGATTCTTTACTGAATCCGAAATACAACTTTTGTAGAAAAAAAATTGAAGGAAACCTTTTTTTAAAGAAATTACATAGAATAACCTATAAAAAAAAATGAAAAATCAAGATAATTTCAGTTTCCCTCCACCGATTATTTTCATTTTTGTCTTAAAATAATCAGAAGACATCCCCGAAGTAATTCCAAAAGAAAACGGTGATGTGCAAAGACTTTTGGGTTGAACTTAATCCAAGCCCACCGTGAGTCCTTAAAGCTGAGTCGCTCTCCAAGACTCGAAAAAGTAAGGCAATGCGTCCTCTTTTTTTCACTGTGGGCTCCAGGTATGTTTAATTATCAAAAAAATCAATTTTTTACTGTAAAAAATTGAAAATTTCAAAAATTTTTGAGCATAATCAGATGTCATTGATAATATATCAAGATTTTAACATAATTTATATTATTGGTAAGTTTTATACAAATCGGTAAAGAATTATGAGCTCCACGTCTACCTAAAAATCAAGCAAAAAATATTTTTTTTATAAAAAATTGAAAATTTAAAAAATTGTTGACAAATAATATGCTATTTATATAATAATTATATTATTTATTAAAAAGGAAGAAAGATTTTTCCTTATTCAAAACAAATCTGAAAGTTGGGTAGATAAGTTTTTTCGTTATGTATGCATTTAATTTTGACAGGTCGATAATTAGGCTACACATGGCTTTTTCAGCACTCAGTAATTGGGGCATATGCAATATTTTAATTTTTAATTACTTTCTAAAATTATGATAGTTTTACACATATATACATTTCTTTATATCACTTTATGATCCAAACAGTGAAAAGGTTAAAGTGAAATAACACGCAGAAAGCGTCTCAAGTGCATCTGAAATTCGGAATTGATGATGGAGGAAAATTTCTAAAAGTGTGTTTGTAAATGCAAGAAATTAAAAATAATTCAGAACAAGACTAAAACTAATTTGCAATCAAAAAGTCGAAAACCTCATGCTGTAAATCGATTTCGAGATTCTGGAGTAAAAAAATTTTCCATTCTTGGTTTAGCACAGTGAAGTCAAGAAAAATATGAAAATGCTTCCATGTTATGGTCTGCGATTGGTATAAATAAGTTTGAAGGTTTTGTTGCAACTGATCTAAATCTTGCAAATATCTTGATTGTTATTATAGGGCACAACAGTAATCAACCTTGTACATGGTGCACAGAAGATAAGAGCAAATAAACACAATTTTCAATCGTATGCCTAAGGATTTTAATCAAGAAACTTTAATCTGGACAAAATCATGTCATGTAGGCTGTGTTGTAACTCATGGGGGTTCAAATTGTAATGAAAATTCCTGCAAAACGTGATGGAAAAAATTGATATTTTACGCGCAAAATGTCCAATTAGTTGCTTAAAGTATATCAAAGCTTTAAAAGATTTTCTCAAATTCTTGAACCAAATTTTAAAGAGTGTATAGCTAATTTTTAAATAATTTACTCAGATTTACCAATTTCAATAACACCCAAAGTTCACGCAGTGTTTTTTCACATTGAAGTTTTTTGTATTAAAAATCAAAAACCATTAGGTTTCTTTAGCGAACAAGCTATGGAATCTGTACACATTGATTTTAATTCAGTTTGGAGTAAATAAAAGAGCATAATCTATCATACTATACAGTTTAACATGTACACCGCTTCGAAAAATGTAGTTTCGAAAAACGCCATATCTCCGCCATTTTCGAATATTTTAAAATTTTTGATAAAGCTAAATACATGTATTTTTCAACTATAATTATTAAAAAGTTGTATTTTTAATAGTTCTGTCAAAATTTATTTTTGAAATACCGTCCAATTTTCAGGCGTTCAGATAGGCCTAACCCCTTAATGGTCTCCAGATTTAAATATTAATCATGTGTTCCATAAATAAAATATATTTCATTACAGAACTGCTTAACTTATTTAATTTATAATCCTTTCGGTAAGAAGAAGTGAATTAAAATGGATTTTGATTTTCAAAATTAAAAATGGCGGATCCAATATGGCCAAAGTAAAATTAAAAATCTGTCGGATTTACTTAAAATTTGTTACTCGGGGGTTTTAAGGGTCGCTCATTACGAATCTGATGTCAGATTTTCGAAATTGTTTGTAAAACTGGAAAATAAAAGTAGTTACACTATAATTTTCTAGACAGATTTCGTAATCGTTTAACCTTTTTTAACATTTGAGGCCTTGTAAAATGTTGAAAATGATTTTTTTCTCTATTTTTGACCAAGAAATAAAATTGGAAAAAGTGTTTTTGGTCATTTATTCCTCTATATTTTTTTTGGAATTTAATTTTTCAAAAAGGGCCACACGGCAATGAAAAGTTAACATTTTTACCTTTAATTTGAGCTATTAGAAAATGTTTTTGCATCAAAATTGTAGTGGAGAGCAGGGGTGGCCCACTTGAGAAAGAATGCCTCTTTTATATTTGTATTTCTTTATATTTTTACATTGTCACGTAATTTGTGGACGAAGCCATTTGATAGAAATAACAATCAACGGAAATGACGCTTAATCGAACTGTCAGCCAACAAAAACGTCACGTTACCAAAATAGCACATAACAAAATTTTTATTTAACGGGATTACCAATTAACGGATTTGTCATTTGAACGAAATGTTAAATAAGAAAAATGTTAATTAACGGAAATGACGATTAACGAAATTGGTTATTAATAGACATATCAAATAGCCGAAATGTCAATTAACGGAAGCGACAATTTACCGACTTGCTAACTTAACGAAATTTTAAATAACAGAATTGTCAGTTAACGGATTTTTCATTTAACAGAATAGGTAATTAACGGAATTGTCAATTAACCGAAATGTCAATTGACTGAACTATCAATTAACTAAATAGTCAGTTAACGGAAATCCCAATTAAGGGAATTGTCACTTAACGATATTGTGACTTAGGGTGGACTTACATGTTGATATAAATGCAGAATGCAAAACCGAAAATAATGAGAGTGAAAAGGATAGTGATTTATCTCTGTTCTTTTCACTCTCATTGTTTTCGATTTTGCATTCTGCATTTACATCAACATGTAAATTCAACCTTAAAAGGTTTATTATTTAACAGAATTGTCATTTAACGGAATAGCCAATTAACGGAATAGTGATTCTGCCGAATTGTCTATTAATGGAGTTGGCAGTTAACGGAATTGACATTTAATGGAATTTCCATTTAACGGATTTGCCATTTAATGGAATTGTTGTTAAATTTTTTCAGAGATTTCTGAAACAATTGGACACACGGTGGGATACGAACCCACGACCTTTCTATTGCCGGTAGAAAGTGTCTAAAATAGTGTCCGTTAAATGAGAATTCCGTTAATTCGCATTTTTCTTAACTGCCGATTCCGTTAAATGCCACTTTCGTTAACTAAAGATTCCGTTAAATGACAATTCCGTTAAATGACAATTCCGTTAAACGACAATTCCGTTCAATGACAATTCTGTTAATTGCCATTTCCGTTAACTGACTATTCCGATAAATGACAATTTTGTTAATTTACATTTCGGCTATTTGACATGTCTATTAATAGCCAATTTTGTTAATCGTCATTTCCGTTGATTAACATTTTTCTTATTTGTTATTTCGTTCAAATGACAAATCCGTTAACTGGTAATCCCGTTAAATGACAATTTTGTTATGTACTATTTCCGTAGCCTGACTTTTCTGTTAGCTGACAGTTCAGTTAACCGTCATTTCCGTTGTTTGTTGTTAAATTGTTGTTAAATTACAATTCTGTTAATTTGCGTTTCCGATATTTGCCTTTCTGTTAAATAACCATTCTGAAAAATGACAGGTGGTGCATTTTCATGCGTCCCACGGAATCCATTTAAAAGACTTTCACGTCTGTCCCAACTATGTGTCCCTCCCCAGCGGCATTTCAGGAAGAATATAGTGAACACAATTGGATCTCTTAGTTACAAATCACGAAAGAAAGAAATTAATTTTTTTCTGAAAAATGACAAAAAATGACTCTGTCTTCCATTTAACTTCTACAATTTTAAAGCTAGGTAAACACAAATTAGTATACATGTGTATTTTTACGTATAAATTACAGAAAAAATAGAGCAAACACGATTTGAGGTCACAGTTCTCAGCTAAATTGAAAGAAATCATATTTTTTAAGAGAAGAAAAATGTTTGTTTTTGTACCAAAGAAATTTAACTGGTGTACGAAACCTTCGTTTTTAGAGAGAGTGCGACTCGCACTTGCCCGATTTTCTTAAAAAAAATATTAAATAAATTTCGTAAAACTCACCTTTTGCCTTTGAACGTGATCTTGTAACATATCAGACAAATCTTCTCGCCTATGTGCATGTTTAGACCTCATTGATTCTTCGTAACGAGTAGCCATAGTTTCAGAATCAAGATCCAATTCACTGGGATCTAGTGCTAATTCTATTGTGCCATCTTTTTCTCTGATGTCAGCAGACGCATTGCTGATTCCACGTCTTGCAGCCATAATTGATGGAGGTGCTTGTCCGCCACCTCCTGTCATATCGTAAACATGAGTACTGCCCATCATACTGTTTCCTAAATTTTCAGTTCTCTTTTCCTGAAGAACAGTATAGAGCGCTGGAGTGTCTCCACCCTCCATTTCACTCTCAATTTTTTTCTTTCTTAATTCAATTGTTTCAGGAGTCTCAAGTCCTGCAGGAATTGATGCAATGCCACTAGGTGTAATTAAACCTTCAGCACCAGGTGTTACCAAACCACTGGCATCGCCATCGCCTTCTTTTCCATCCCCTTCCAATTCGCCACCCTCATCTTCTTCATCTTCGTCTTCGTCTCCAGAAGATTCCGATTCAGGTTCTCCCCAAAGTCCTCGATCAACATCTTCATCTAAAGCATCGCTTCCTGGTGCACGAGATATTCCAAAAACATCTCCATAAAGAGGTCGACCACCTTCGTCTACTGGTGGCTTTCCCCAACCTCCAGCATGATAACCAAATGCACAACCTTCAGGAATTGGAGCATTTAAACCTAGAAAGATTTATTATTTTTACTTCCTGTATAGCATAGATAGGGCCATTTTAGGTAAATGTAAACAATATCTATTTTCACCAAAAAACGTAAATTTTTTTCGTTAAACGGTAAAAATGACCGATTTCCATTGCATGAACATTATTTTTTATTTTTACTTTATTATTTTTTTATTTACTGTTTTCTTTATTATTTATTATTATTTTTAATACTTTATTATTATTCATCTCCCTAGAAAAGTGTTATGGGGCACAAAAAATATTAATGAGCTTGAATCGCATAAAACTGACTAATGAACATAACCTGACATTTACTCCAAGATTTTGAAATTTTTCTAAAATTTGGAAACGCCACTGTAGTTAAGAAAGAGTAAAAAAAATTATCTCAAGTATCTAGTATCTAAAACAAAATTCGTAAAAGATGTATAGTAATTCCACCAGTTGATTGATACACTGAAAAAAAGAGGGCGCAATATGTCACTTTTTCGAGTCTCGCAGCGCGACTCAGCTTTGAAGAATATTGTGATCCTTTGTGGGGCGCGCAACGCGCTCCAAACTTGTACACCTCAATACTGGGGCGTGCTACGCGCCTCAGAAAATCCTACAGCTCACTTAAAAAGGTAAACATAGTCCTCAAAGCTCAGTTGTAACGATAGAATATCGTAGTATAGTCGCCCGGCGAAAAGAGAGAAAGTAGACAGCGTAAGTAGTAGTGTCACTCTCTTCCCCCACCACTCGCTGTCACCTAGCTGCTAGTGATATACCTTTCGTCTCGCACCTTTTTCCTCACAATCAGTCTTCTTCCGACACGTCCAGTCCGTGGGGCGTGAAAAAGGCCAAATAAAAACAATAATTCGGAAGTCAAAAATTTTTTTTGCAATCGATGGGGGGCATTTTACTAAATATAAAACCAAGTTTTCGAATTTGGGGGGTGGTAAATTTTTCCGTTATCTTGAAAAAAGAGAAATTTTTTAAATTGCAAATATTACAAAAACTATCAGTTTTACGTGAAAAATTGTACACATGAATTTTGTAGAGCTGAAAATTGCCTACAAAATTTGTTTAAACAATTTTGTCATATGATGAGTAGTTTTTATGTTATATTAAAAAAATCGAAATTTTTAATCGCAAAAACTCCATTTTTACCATTTTTTGCAAAACTGATACAATTTATCACAAAATTAGTCCTATTCAAAAATGAAGGCATTATAAAACTATGCAACTTTGAAATTAACTTTTTTTCCATACAATAATTAGGAAAGAGTGGGGAACGCTTCAAAGTGCGCAACTACCAGAAGTGCGTTTAACATATTATGTGACGCTCCACGGTGAAAGGTATCTGTCTCCCCAAATGCATTAGGCTTAGTTCTCCATGTACGTGTAAGGAGAAATGAGCCTAATACATTTTAGGACTAAAACTTTTAATTGCAAAAATTTCTAAAATTATCACTTTTACGTGAATAATTGTAAATATAAATTTTGTAGAACAAAAAAACCTACAAAATAAAAAAAAATTTCAAATCGATTTTGAAACAATTTACATGTATAAAATTTGAGCAGCAAAGAAATATTTTTTACTTAAGGGGTGTTCCTCATGTAGAGAGGGTAAAACAATGACATTTTCTTGAATTTTTTCTGGACAAGCCTTTTATTCAACTTAAAAACAACCTTTTAAATATTATTATACGTATCTTAAACTGTATTTTTTCATTTTTTGTTTACTTTTTTCTTTGACTGTACTCACGTACAGCTGTCGTGAATATTGCCAGTCGTTTTTGAGGTTGAATTTTGCCGGAACGATATCTCGGGTTCTATAACAGATAATTGCAAAAACTTTAGGTCATTTTAAAGATAGAGACCTAAACGACGGGATCCACCTAACCCGACATCAAAAAAATGAACTAGAAATATTTTAGAAACTTTTTAAGAACCGAAAATAAGCAATTTTTCATGACATTTTTTTAGAGTGCTCTAAAATATTTCTAGTTCATTTTTTTGAGGTCGGGTCAGGTGGATCCCGTCGTTTAAGTCTCTATCTTTAAAATGACCTAAAGTTTTTGCAATTATCTGTTATAGAACCCGAGATATCGTTCCGGCAAAATTCAAACTCAAAAACGACTGGCAATATTCACGACAGCTGTACGCACAGTGGGAAAAAAATGACCCTCTGTGGACAAAAATCTACCGACAACACAAATCTTAACCGATTTTAATATTTTTTTTTTTAAAATACTCGGAGAGGTTTTTCCTGTAACGCACAACTGCGATAAATTTGATTTATTTCAAACTAACCTTAAAAATGATACCTATATATAAAATTACGTTATTAGGATGGTTTAAAAAATAAAAAAATGATTAATTTTGATATAGCAGAGAGTATTGTGAACCCTTTTTGATCACTGAATGCGAATTTGACATTAAAATTGCAAAATTTTAAAATTCAAAATGGCGGGTGCAATATGGCAGGCAATGTTTTATAAAAGTCACCAAATTCACTCGAAAGTTGTTATTCAGGGGTTTTTAAGGTCGCTGGTTACGAATCTGAAGTCTGATTTCAAAAATTCAAAATTGCGGATCCAATATGGCGGATTAAAAAATTAAAAATTCATTGAATTTGCATGAAAGTTGTTACTTGGAGGTTTTTAGGGTCGCTGATTACGAATCTGAAGTCAAACTTCAAAAATTCAAAATGGCGGATCCAATATGGCGATCAAATTTTTAAAAAGTTATTAATTTTTTATTTTATATCCGCTATTTTGAATTTTGACAATTTAACATCAGATTCGTCATCAGCGACCCCGAAAACCCCCGAGTAACAAGTTTTAAGCAAATCTAGTGAATTTCAAATTTTTTTTGGTCGCCATATTGGATCCACCATTTTGAATTTTGGAAATGTGACATCGGATTCGTAATCAGCGACCCAAAAAACCCCCGTGTAACAACTTTCAAGCAAATCCAATTAGTTTTTGATTTTCTTATCCGCCATATTGGATCCGCCATTTTGAATTTTTGAAATTTGACTTCAGATTCGTAACCAGCGACCTTAAAAACCCCTGAATAACAACTTTCGAGTGAATTTGGTGACTTTTATAAAACATTGCCTGCCATATTGCATCCGCCATTTTGAATTTTAAAATTTTGCATTTTTAATGTCAAATTCGCATTCAGTGATCAAAAAGGGTTCACAATACTCTCTGCTGTATCAAAATTAATCATTTTTCCATTTTTTAAACCATCCTAATAACGTAATTTCATATATAGGTATCATTTTTAAGGTTAGTTTGAAATAAATCAAATTTATCGCAGTTGTGCGTTACAGGAAAAACCTCTCCGAGTATTTTAAAAAAAAAATATTAAAATCGGTTAAGATTTGTGTTGTCGGTAGATTTTTGTCCACAGAGGGTCATTTTTTTCCCACTGTGTGTACGTGAGTACAGTCAAAGAAAAAGCAAACAAAAAATGAAAAAATACAGTTTAAGATACGAATAATAATATTTAAAAGGTTGTTTTTAAGTTGAATAAAAGGCTTGTCCAGAAAAAATTCAAGAAAATGTCATTGTGTTACCCTCTCTACATGAGGAAGACCCCTTAAATGCTAACTGTAAAGTTCTATAATTAATCTATATTTGGACGTTTTTGCTTCCGAATTCAATAATTACACAGCCCCACAAAAAAAAAGTGTTATGTACTTTTGACCGGAATACCCTAACCCTATGTATTTTGACGCGCTGAACACGAATCCGAAGTCCGTTTTGCTCCATCACGTCAGTATTTTTTTCTAACCTCAAAAAACATGTCGGATTTTGAGAATTAGGCGATTTTTTTAAAAATTGATGTATTAACTTCAAACTTGGTATCTGGGGTTTTTTTGTGTCGCTGATTACGAATCTGAAGTTAGATTTTCAAAATCCAAAATGGCGGATCCAATATGGCTGACGAATTTTGAAAAAATTTTAAGATTTACTTCAAACTTGGTATCTATGGGTTTTTTGGGTCGCTGATTACGAATCTCATGTCAGATTTCCGAAATTCGATATGTCTGATTCAATATTAAGGAATTATTTTTAAAAAATTGTCAGATTATTACGAAATTTGGTATCTACAGGTTTTCTAAGTTGCTGACAAGTAACACTAGGGAAGTGCCATACGCCGATTTTTCTGAAACTTGGCAGTTTTGTAGTTTTTTGAAAACAATTTGACACATATGTTTTGTTTTTCCCCAAAAGCTGATTTATGGGGGGAACTACCCCTTGAATTTTTTTTGGTAGGGGGACATTATTTTATGAAATTTTTTAAAAATTAATGTGCAATAGTGTATCTGGGGGTTTTTTGGGTAGCTGATTACGAATCTGATGTCAGATTTCAAAAATTCAAAATGGCATATCCAACATGGACTTCTATCAGCCATATTATAGATACGCCATTATCAATTTTTGAAAACTGACATCAGATTCGTAATCAGCGACCCAAAAAACCCCCAGATACACTATTGCACATTAATTTTTAAAAAATTTCGTAAAATAATGTCCCCCTACCAAAAAAAAATTTAAGGGGTAGTTCCCCCCATAAATCAGCTTTTGGGGAAAAACAAAACATACGTGTCAAATTGTTTTCAAAAAACTACAAAACTGCCAAGTTTCAGAAAAATCGGCGTATGGCACTTCCCTAGTGTTACTTGTCAGCAACTTAGAAAACCTGTAGATACCAAATTTCGTAATAATCTGACAATTTTTTAAAAATAATTCCTTAATATTGAATCAGGCATATCGAATTTCGGAAATCTGACATCAGATTCGTAATCAGCGACCCAAAAAACCTCTAGATACCGAGTTTGAAGTAAATCTTAAAATTTTTTCAAAATTCGTCAGCCATATTGGATCCGCCATTTTGGATTTTGAAAATCTAACTTCAGATTCGTAATCATCGACACAAAAAAACCCCAGATACCAAGTTTGAAGTTAATACGTCAATTTTTAAAAAAATCGCCTACTTCTCAAAATC